TCAGCTTTCTAGATATTTTTTAAGTTGTTTTTGGAAACGATCTAGTGTCGGAGGTTCAAGAATTTCAGCAGTTGTGTCATTCCAAGATTTGAGAGCAGTCCTATATCTAGGGATCTGGAGATCTTTACAGTGCCTCGTATTATAGGTCGCGTGAAAAGATCTCGGCTGGTATTTACCCCCTTTGGCTTTCAGGACACAGTCTGTTCATTATCTTCGAGGTCATGACATTCCGATCATAACGGAAAAGATTTTCTACGTTTAACCAGGAAGCCGACCAGCTGTTATTTATTCTTACATTTGTTATTATTGAACACGCCCTATCTTGGGCAGCTATTTTTGTTTTTGTTAGATAGATAACATCGGCATAACGAAGATGACTGTCAATTAGTGCATAGTATACATTACACAGCTGGGATTGTGGAATGAAATTTTTCAATTTTTTTAGAGCTGCAAGACCTACATTCATTTTGCCTTTGGTGCGCTTAAACTGTTCATCCCAATTTCATCAATTATCACTCCAAAAGATTTTTACTTATCTACTCTTTTTAGAGGAATCAAAGCAAATGGTGTCACAATAACTAATATTAGATACGCAGACGACACGATCATCATCGCAAAAACATGATAACAAGATTAAATGAAACATGCAAGATCTACGGGATGGAATTAAAAACCATTAAAAATCACAGAGGATGGACGCTGCACAGACGAAATAAGAAAAAGGACAGCAATGGCTAAGATTTCATTCCAACGAAATAAAGAATTGTTCAATAGTAACATCAACAGGAAAACGAAAATGAACCTCCTGAAAACATATGTCTGATCTGTTTTTACTTATGGATGCGAGGCATGGACTATTGGGAAAGAAATGATGGACATGATTCGGGCATTCGAGATGTGGTGTTATAGAAGATTGTTGAAGATCAGGTGGACAGATAGGGTTTCCAACGAAGAAGTGCTACGAAGAATGAATGTAACCCGTATGCTTCTTTCCACCATAGCAAAGAGAAAAGCTGCACTCTTTGGTCATGTGGCAAGAGGATCAAGTGGAGCAGTTTTTTGTAACATCGTGGAGGGGTACATTGAAGGAAAAAATTCCGTTTTTTTAGGATTGGGGCTAAGTTTATTCACCCTCATCCACTCAGAGTGATTCGAAAGCTCATGATGTGCGTCTTTAATTAGTTTCGCTAGATCATCCGATGCAATCGTTACATTTGTATCGTCACCATAAATGCTAGCCCTGGATAATTTAAGACATTTTTCTAAGTCATTCAAGTATATGATGAATAGAAGAGGGCCCAAACAAGAAACCTTGGGGAATACCACAGGTTAAATTTCTGGCTTTTGAATGCTGACCATTCAGAGTGCAAAACTGCTTTCTATTATTTACGTAGGATTCGTATGCACACAATTATTTAGTAGCGGATCGTGATCGACCGTATCGAAAGCTTTCTTAAGATCGAGAAAAATTTTGATGTTCCAAAGTCTGTGCTGCTTATCAATGGTGTTATTGTGGAGTATGACTTCCGAAAAGCTGCTTGGCTGTATGTAATACTTTCATTGGTTTTAAGAAACTCAAACAGCTGATCATGTGTTAGCCGTGCTAGCAATTTTGAAAACACTGAGATTACAGAGATTGGCCTGTAGTTATTTAGATCTGTTTTTGGTCCAGATTTATAAAACCCTCTATCGAAACTTCGTGATCCCTAATACTTTCATCCAATCGGGTTTCACTAAGACCAATGATATCAATATCATTGTCATGCAATATGATTCATTCCTATGTTTTTTGGGGGAGACTATGTTTAGGAAACATTTTTGGCCATCTCTTTTCCTCGAGTAATGCTCCCTGCGTCTATTCTCAAGGAGAGGCATATGCCATTGGAATTGGCTGCATATAGACAAAAGTTTGTCTGTGAAGAACGCTTTTTCGAACGATTTCCGCCCTGTATCTAATTTAATTGAATATGCAAAAAGTGCATGCAATCTTTGTCAACACTTCGCTCCACCCATTACAAATAAGAGCTATGACACCCTTGTCAATATTTTATAAATTTATTTAAGTTACTCGCATACTTTCATATTCCTCCATCAATTAAATGTAGACCGTCACTTTTCAGATTGCTAAACAGAATGCTATTGTTTTCGATCATATCAATGCCATTAAGGGGTAGTGTTTCAGCCAGAAGCCCATTCAGTTTAGAAACCTTGGCATTGAGCTCATGTGAATATTTTCTTGGATAAACTGCTGAAAAAGCTACCTTTGCCTTGGGGTTGTTCATTTCTCTAAGCGTTTCCGTTGTTTCTTTACATAATTCCCGTGGGGTTGTTGATGCAACATTATTGGTAGCAGCTTGTATTATTGTTACATCACTGTCCACTTTCCCAGTTGCTTAACTGTTTCTTTGACTTTCATTCCAAGTTTGAATTTATTTTCAACAGAATAGTGTTCATTCTCAATATTTTCACTATGTTCATTCTCAGTTTAAATTCCTTAGTTGCGAGTCACCCACAATCAGAATTTTGATTCTATTGCTTTCTGTGATCTTAGTTTCTTCTTTAGATGTTTCGGTTGGATTGATCGATGCCTGGGGGTTTTTGCGTTTGTCTTGTTTATTTGGCTTTACTCCCCTGCCATTTTTCGTTGGTTGTTTGCTTTTCGCTCCCTTGTTCGCAACTGTCTGTCTGGCTTCAACGATCTCACGTCCGATGTGTCTGGTAAACTCTTCTCCAACCTTGCAATTTCCTTTCCCCGGTAGATGATGAAAGCGTCTTTCTTATCAATCGCGTCAGTTATTTAAAGTAACGGATTTCTCTTTCGATGCTGTCGAGCCAACCTTCTCATCTGGGTGACAATGTGAATTGCCGTTTCCCATGCAGCGGCTTCTTCGTCGACAATTGTCGATGGAATATCTTTGAAATTTTGTTAGAATGATGAATTTTTCTGAGTTGTTTCCGAAGCGTGGTGTTCAATGACAAGTGGGGTTTCTTCAATAGTTGTCGAGTTGAATACTTTATCCGTCTTTGTAGGCCGTTTTCCATCCTCGTCGCCAATGTTGTGACCTGAAGTTACGACTAGTAATGCACGAAGTGTGCTAACTGTAGGCCATCTTATAATCCATTCACAAACTACAAAAGTTGCGTATGTGGGGAACTGGATCTAGTACATTATGATTCTTAGAATGATAGGATATGACACCAACGACTGTTGAATCTATTCAACATCTAAGGGGTGACTTCGATGCTTCTTTAAAGGGTATTGTCCCATTGTAAACGTCTTGAATCAACACAATTTTTTGCAACTTTTTTATCTAGCACATTGGCAAACCATATAAAAGAGAATTGTTGCAATCTAGCCGAGATGTGACAAATGCATGGTTAGCTTTTTCAGCAGCTTCTTTAGTGAGATACTTCCGAGCTTGGCGGATATTATGCAAGAAGTACCTAGCTGAGCTGCACAAAGAGTTTACATGTGACTTAGTGACAAATTAGCAAAGTAACGTGCATCATATGAACACCCGCATTAATGCAAATGTTTGTGGAAATTCAGGCTTGACAGAATTCAATCATAATTTTTATATAGCGATTTGCATCATTTAAACCGGTGTTTCATTCTCACTTTTCTTTGACACACTTTCCCCAAGCTTTCTTCGTCTTTTGATTCAAGTTCAATGTTTTTTATTCCAATAAGAGGAAGAAGTGCTCCCAAAGGAAAAAGTGCGTTACGTGTTGACAGTATCAGACACGTATTTTGGACCTCCAGAAAGTGGCAATTTAGTTCGATATTACTTCGTTTTTCTTTATGAAGATGTCTTGCTGAACAAGTTTTGTATCATTGTTATCGGAAGAAGAAAGTTATCGGATCAACTTTATCACAACTGGTAATGATTAGCGTACAAATGCCAGCCATAGGCTATTGAATTGAAATGTATAGCAAAATTTTCAAACGCCATCTTTTTCTTTAATAGGAATATTTTGTGGCCAGAGCAACTAACAGTTATAAAGTACTTTCGATGCTACCAAAGGTTTCTAGTGGAAAAGTTTTGTCATGTGAGAATAATGGAGATAAAACACAATGTACCGTTTCAACAACGTTGTCGCAAAACGATCCCGTGAACAGCGAAGCAGTTAAATTCAGCACTTCTACGAAATTAAACATTGATTGGGCAACTCAAGCAGCTGTTTGGAAGCAGTGCTGTTTTCCATCGCGGGAAGAAAGCCTGTAAGTATATGTTTGTTTTGTCTTGTTCGTGTATAAATTTCTTGCAGAGAACACCCACATTAACGGACAATGTGGATAATTATACCGCAATGGCTTGCTCTTTTTATGATTAGTTTTACGTAGCATTGATTACTCTATCTCTCATCCCTTTCAAGGAAATGTGTTTGCAGTTAACCAATTCATTTTGACCAATTTGTTATCGATCCTTTTTAGAATCTTGCAACAAATTTCAAAAGATGGTAAACTGAAAGCTGTTATAAGAAAAGCAGCCAAGAAAGACAAGCCAGTTTTCCTCCTAGAGGTCTGTTTCATAAATTTATTTATGAGAATTGCTTTTAGATGCATGTGCAGCTCGGTAAGGGAAGGTATTTTAGCAAAAGTGATAGCCTTTACCAAACGACAGTAAACTTGTAACTGAGAATTACTAATGTTTGGGCCAGTGAGTCAATGAGTCAACGAATCATGAGTCGCAATGAGTTGCAATGAGTCGATTAAACTCCTAAGACAATTTCCTATGCTGAATAAAAATATGACACTCAAATTTAATAGTTGGTTTGAAACCATAAAAAAGGACAAGCACAGCTTGTCAAAAACTAAGAAAAAATAGTGTAATATCAACCTCAACCAGATCACGTTGGGTCCTCTCGCATAATCTTGTGTCGTTAGGAGTTCTGGGATCAAGTTTGTTGTCAGTAAGTTCAACTTAAAAGAGGCGTGTGTCCGTATAGATATACCGTACTGCTATAAATAATAAATAGAAACATGTATATACATTGTCTTTTATAATTCTGAGTCCTTGCTAGCTCATCAGCCAGTCCACCAGGTAGAACATTTCTAGGCTTATGATCAGTATGCTCCTTTACACCTGGGTGCCTCCTCACCCCTGCGTCCAGAGAGGATGCCAGCAAAGGTGTATCATTGAATCGTAGCGTTGTTCAGAAAAAACACTATCGCTTAAACGTTTCGACTGAAGTCTTCATCAGTAATATTTTACAAATCAAATGGAGCTAACATATACAAAATCAATACAATAGAATTAATACAATAGAGTTGGTACAATAAAGTGAATACAATGAGGAGGTTAAAGGAAAATTGCCTATTACAATAGTTATTGGTAAAAGTGTAACTCAATGGGAGGGTTAGAAGAAAGCACAGGAGAAGGTGCTGCTAAAGTAGGCGGCAATGCAAGTCTACCGGGGGCTCAAATGTTATTTGTAGCAAAAAGAAACACCTGTTTAAGAAGAATGTGCTAGTGGCAGAAGAGAGACAAAAATACATGCAAAGAAATAGCCTAAAACCTATGTATCAACATGTCTAGTGTTTAAGCCCTAAGGAGAAAATCTGTCTAGCTTATACTGCCAGAAGCTTTCTCGCATCCTATTCCCCCCAGTAAGCCTACAATTATACTAACCTTTGTATCCTGCAGAAACCCCCGGTGGCCTTCTCCAGAAGAGTGCCTGAAAAATTCCGCCTGAGGTACTGAGGATCCCTGACTAACTTACGACTACATGCCTTATATTTATTAAACCTTAATCTAAAGGGCGTGTTAGTGCAACCAACAAACTGCACACCACAAACATTGCACTCTAAGAAATACACCACATTAGACGAATCACAGTTAAACGAGTCTGATAGGTAATTTATCTTATATTCCTTACCAGTTACCTTAGACTTAAAACTATCACAGTTACTCATGACATTACACACTTGACAACGAGCTTTACCACAACCAGAACATCCCTCAGTATGTGTGCCCCCTTGTCCCCGATTACTGAGCCTAGCCCTGACCAAAATGTCCTTAAGGTTCTTACATCTCCTAAAAGCAATTATAGGTGGCCCAGGAAACACCTTCCTATGCTCCTTCGAATGGCTGAGCATAGATTGGAGTTTTCCTGCCGCTTTCCCCAATCCATTGAGTGCTGGATGGTATGTTAGTACAAATGGAACCCTTTCCTCCCTCCTCTGGTCTTTGGTTTTACTACCCGAATTATCAAGAAGAGTCGCCCTATCTAACTTACGTGCCTTATCTATCTGTTCATCAGCTAGAGACTCTTCATATCCCCTGTCCTTAAGCCATCAAGCTAACTCATCTACCTGATCTTCGAGAAAGCAATCTTCAGAACAAATCCTACGATACCTAAGTGCCTGGCTATAGGGGATCGCTTTTCTAGTGTGCCATGGATGACAAGACTTCTTATGCAAGTACTGATGTATATCAGTAGGCTTGCAAAACAAGGCTGTCGACAGGACTCCCCTCACTTAGAATAACCTGTACATCTAAGAAACTTATACTATCCCTTGAGTGTTCGCTAGTAAACTTGATGGTATCATGGCTACTGTTGAGATGGTCAATGAACTCTTTCAGCTTCTCTTCCCCATGCATCCAGATAAAGAAAATATCATCGATATATCTTACTCAAATGAGGGGCTTTTCCACCGAAGAGTCCCTTAACCTTTCCTCCAACCGGGTCATAAAAAGATTAGCATTCGCTGGATCAAACTTATTACCTATAGCCGTGCCTAATTTCTGCCTATATATCTTATCGTTAAATTCAAAGTAATTGTTATCCAAGACCAAAAATGCCAACCCCACTAGGGTATCAGTAGCCACTTCTGGGTTTTCCCTTCTATCCAGCGCCTGCTTGATGACCTGCATATATATATATATATGTATTCAAAAGCTCTAGACTGTAATGTTTTTTAAAAATTTAAATAGATGATCAGTAAAAAAACAATCATGTATGCTTCTTCAGAATCAATATATGTATATATAATGTGTTACTGATCACAACTCGCGACTAACGACTCCTGACTCACGACTCACTGAGTCACGATTTAGGCAACCTCACTTTTAACATATAGGCAAATGTTTTATTTTATGTTCATCCGAGGGGGCCCTTCATTAGCAATGAAGTCTTTTGAAAAATTAATTTCACCAATAAGTTATGCTGCTAGAAATTGTTTGAAATTTCATGTTACATACCTTCCTTTAATTCAGGTTACATAAAAACTAGGATATATTGCATTATTTTAAAGGTAAGCATTATTCTGATACATAGCTTGTTATCAGATTGTTATTGCAGGCCTAGAAAGAAACAGCCTCTGATAGACATCCTTTGTTTAGACTTTCAGCCAAGAAAGTTCTCAGCATTATTCTGATACATAGCTTGTTATCAGATTGTTATTTCAGGCCTAGAAGAAACAGCCTCTGATAGGCTCCCATTGTTTAGACTTCCAGCCAAGAAGGTGCTCAGCATTATTCTGATAGATGGCTTGTTCTAAGATTGTTATCTCAGGCCTAGAAAGAAACAGCCTCTGATAGACATCCTTTGTTCAGCCTTCCAGCCAGGAAGGTGGTCATGCAACGGCTGCAGATAGATGATTTGCGAATTGCAGCTAATGTGGCAATCTGTTTTTGCTCAATCAGTCAATATTTCAATCAATCAATATTTATTTACACGAGATACCTTTCAGCAGGAAAATAATTATTTACAAAAAAAGAACTATTAAAAAAAGAACTATTTGCATATTGCTGCTCTACCAAGGGGTCGTGTTTGGGTTCAAAAGATACTCTCTATAACCTGTTTTAAAACGAGCGATTGATTATTTTTCTCGAATGTTGTTAGGGATATCATTCCAGTTTTTGACACCAGAGAAATAGAAAACCTCGCTTTGCATACTCTAACCTAACTTTGGGAATTTGCAGGTCTCCACGGTTTCTGGTTCTATACTCTGAAATCACGGATCTTTCAGTGAATTTATGGCGAAGATTTTCGGGATAGAGGTCATGCAAGATTCTTTATGTCATGAATTCTTGGTCAAAGGAGATTAATGACTTTACAGTGAGTCATTTGCTTCCTTTGGGAGGCAAGCATCAACTCAAAACTATCATAACTTGTATTTCGTCAAACGATTGGGTTGATCCCGTAAAAATTTTCTGTGCCCGAATACAATGTTCATAATCGTTAACTGCCTTATTATGCCAGTTAAAAAATGAGGGTGGGCGGCTGGATGCGCGTCAGGTTTTCTTGAAAAACAACACTTCGAATGAATGACCCCTTTTGGTCACTTTTGGTCTCTAACGAAACCTATTGTAAGTAGCCTGCGCGCAGACTCTCAAGTCTTTGTGCGAGGTGTTCTCTTTGGAAGTGGGCATTCAAATGAAGTGAATTAGAGGTGTCTACCATGAATAGAAACATCAGCTTATACTGTGCATGCACAATGTTTATCTTATTTTTTACCAAAAACTCTATGCTGATCAAAGATAATGAAACTCTTTGCGCTACTGAGAAAATTGATAACAGGTAGTGTAGGCAAGACAGATCGTATGATCAATTGTATTACTGGAGCTAGTATCAAAAACAAGAATCTCGTCCTAATCAATAATTTGCAGGCATGATAGATATGAGGACTATCTTAATTACAGAAACATTTAATGCGAAATATCAGGTCAAATCGCGCCTATATCCAGATATTTAAATTTTCTGGGTTTCAAGTCAAGAAAATAGGGCCGCGTAAAGGCGCCAGGCGCCTATAATTTGTTGGCAACAAAATCACTTTATATTGCAAAAAAATCATTTTGCATCACAGCTTATACTAAGAAACAACTCTGTATACTGCAGAAATTTTACAGATTAAAAACACAATGCTATAGTTCTACGATAATGTCCTCGTCGTGTTCTTCATCAGAACCAGAGCCTTCGTTCTCGTTCTCGTTCTCATCGACTGTGTTACAATGATCTCTGTCTTCGTAAATTTCATTGCTCGCCTCTTCAAGCTACAGCAACATTTCGTTTACCTCTAAGATTGCTTCTCTAGGCACAGCTCGATTCAAAATCGTATCACGGAACCGTGAATGAAGCTTGTGGTAGTCATCATCCCATTCGATGTATCCGCATTGCTTGAATCCACTGACGATGAATGCTGGTTTTGCTACTGCCTTCCATGCTTGAAGTACCCACTGACAAAGCATTACGTAAGATGCACGACGGCGGTTGCCCTGCTTGGTGAACTCTTCGGTACCACATGCGATCCACTCTCCCCACCTCTCTTTGAGAATATCTTTGAACGGCTTATTGATATGTGTGTCAATAAACTGGAGCAATGGAGTCATACCTCCATCGATGATTTTACATTCTGTGCTGTACCTCTTGAAAAACTAAGGAACATCTCCCAAGTGAGATTTGGCAGAATCCAAGGGCCTTGGTTAGGTTTTTGAAGATGGCCATTGGTGGCAAGGATATTCCTTCGTAATAATCATCGATTTTGCGTACTCCAGCAGACAACACAGTGGTTGTGACGTTATTAGCCTCGTATTTATGTTATGTTGGGCATACGCCCGGTTTGTTATGTTATGCGTGAGAATACAAAATGGAGTATTGAAGTTCGAGTTCGAGTATTCTATTCTTGTTATATACTGGATATTCTTACATGGTGTCAGGTAAAACATCCATCTTTGATGTTTAGGAGGTAAATGATTGCTTTGCTGGTTCTTGTTTCGCGATGACAGATCCGGATCCAATCTTGCCTGGGCCTAGTGCTTCAACTGAAGGAAATAGCGGTACATCGGCGTACATATTTAACGTGCCATTACCCCCACGATTAAGCTTAGAAGGGAATTTGGCAGAGAATTGGAAGCAATGGAAGCAAATTTGAGCGAATCTTCGAATTATGGATTACTTACTGTATTGGAGAAACAAATGTAATTTACGAACGGTATAAATTCAATAATTGTACACAGGGCCCTACAGAGTCAATTGAAACTTATGCGGCCTCTTTGCGTGCCCTCGCAGCCACATGTGCATTTATACCACTTGATGATGAGCTGATACGTGACCGAATTGTTTGTGGCATTCACAACAATGCTGTGTGACGTAAGTTACTGCAAGAACCAAAACTCTCATTATCTAAATGCATTGACTTATGCAGGGCCACAGAAACAATTACTGCTCAAGCAAGAACAATGGCTGGCCAAAATGATAATCATGACCTCATGGCCCATAATGTTGGAAAGCAAAGCAGCCCGAGGAAGACCACTGGAGACACAAGAGGTTTTATTTCCGACTGCAAATTTTGTGGGCGTAGCCATAAAAGAAACAAAGAGAGTTGCCCAGCCTTTGGCAGATATTGTTCTGGTTGTGGTAAGAGAAACCATTTTGTTGAGAAGTGCAGCTTGAAGAAACCACCAGGTATGAGAGATACATTTTCTAAAGCCAAAATACATGCAGTGAAGGAAGAAAACACTTCAAGTGATGATGAAATTCTCGTTGTTGAAATTTCACCCAAAAATAATCTGGCAATCAATGCTGTGTCCCAGTCCCCTCCTAAGAACAAAATTTTTGCCTCCATGATTATAAAAGGCAGGCAAATTTGTTTTCAACTTGACTCAGGTGCTACCTGTAATGTCCTTCCAAAACACTTCGTTCTTCCAGGCACAAAAGTTGAAAAATTGGATCACTCTTTGCGCCTGTACAGCCAAGCCGTATTACCGATAAATGGTATTTGTAAACTTAAGGTAGTAAACCCAAAGAACCAGACTGAGTACACTGTCAGATATGTTGTTGTAAAAGGTGACTATGTTCCATTATTAGGAGCAAATGCAGCACAAAAGATGGGACTTCTGACTGTTAATTATGCTAATATCTTTAACGCAAATGTAGATAATGTTAGCTCTAACAGTATTGCTTCAAACAGCACACATCAACAGGCACAACCAACGGTTGTCATGGAAACAGTTTTATCGACCACCGCAGTGTCTCCACTCAGTATTGCAGATATAGAGAACCGTTTTGGAGATGTCTTTGAAGGTCTGTGTCACATGCCAGGCAAATTGCACTTAGATGTTGATGAGTCACAAACCCCTGTTGTCATGCCGCCTCGCAGAGTACCAATCGCTCTTAAAGCAAAACTCAAGGCTGAATTGGAAAGGCTGGAAAATCTTCATGTCATTCAGAAAGTTACAAGTCCAACAGATTGGGTATCAAATCTCGTCATTGCAGAAAAACCAAATGGGAAACTGAGGGTGTGCATCGATCCACAACACCTCAACAAAGCATTGAAAAGAAGTCATTATCCGTTACCGCTCATCGAGGATGTGCTGCCAGAGCTAGAAGGTGTCAAGGTATTCAGCAAAATCGACCTGAAGGAAGGGTACCTTCAAATAGAGCTCGATGAAGAATCAAGCATGCTCACAACGTTCCAGACACCATGGGGGCGTTGGAGGTACCTCAGGATGCCATTTGGAATTAAACCAGCTTCGGAACATTTTCAACACGAATTTGATCAGTGCATTGAAGGCCTATCTGGGGTGTATGCAGTCGCTGACGATGCTCTTGTTACCGGAAGAGAGAAACTTACGAAGAAGCTGTCAAAAATCATGACATGAACATGCTGGCACTTTTGAAACGTTGTCAACAAAAAAACATCAAGCTGAACAAGGACAAATTCAAGTTCAAGTGCGATGAAGTTTCCTTCATTGGTCATACCCTAACACAGAATGGTCTTAAAATAGACCCCGCAAAAGTTGAAGCCATCACAAAGATGAGCAAGCCGAAAGATGTCGCTGGTGTACAAAGGTTCATTGGCATGGTAAAATACCTGGCCAAGTTTCTTCCCAGACTATCTGAAGTATGCGAACCTCTGAGAAATTTGACCCACAAAGATGCACCATGGGTATGGGGAAAAGATCATGACAAGTCTTTTGTTGACATACAAAAAGCATTTTGCGAGGCACCAGTTCAAAAGTATTTTGACCATAAGGCAGCAACAGAAGGCCAGGCTGATGCATCATCAAAGGGGCTTGGTTTCGTGCTCATGCAAGAGGGACGTCCCGTGTCATATGCAAGCAGAGCCCTCACCCCTGCAGAGCAAAATTACAGCTAAATAGAGAAGGAGCTGCTTGCACAAGTATTTGGAGTGGAACATCACCATACCTATGTCTATGGCTGAGAGATTACACTTTGGACGGATCACAAACCACTTGTCTCAATCGTCAGCAAACCACTCGCCTCTGCTCCAAAGAGACTGCAAAGGTTGCTACTAAGATTGCAATCATACGATGTTAAAATCTGCTATAAACCTGGCAAAGAAATTGTTCTAGCAGACACACTTTCTCGTGCATACCTGCCGACAAGTGAGAAACAAAAGTCCCCAACTGAAGAAGAAGTCGAAACTATCCACATGTCAAATTATCTCCCCATCTCTGAGCCACAGCTGAAGGAAATACAGCGAGAAACAAAATGTGACAGCACTTTACAAGCACTGAAAGAAATAATTTTGAATGGGTGGCCAGAAAGAAAAGGGACCCTTCCTCGATGTATTCATCCATACTTCTCAATCAGAGACGAGCTAGCAACACAGGATGACGTAATTTTCAAGGGTCAGAGAGCAGTTGTTCCAGAAACACTGCGCAAAAAGATCCGGGATAAACTGCATGTAACACACACAGGAATACAGAGCTGCCTCAGAAGAGCCAGAGAAGTAGTTTACTGGCCTGGCATGAACAAAGATCTTATCGACTTCATCTCGAAATGTGAAATCTGTAACACATTTCAAAACAACCAGACCAGAGAGTCCCTTATTCCTCGTGAAATCCCAAGCCGCCCCTGGCAAATAATTGCTGCTGACATTTTCACAGTCAACAACAAAGACTTCCTCTGTACTGTGGATTGCTACTTCAACTACTTTGAGATAGATCGTCTATTTTACAAAACTGCTGGGGAAATTAAGAAGAAGCTCAAGCGACACTTCTCTACTCATGGGATACCAGATACGCTCATGAGTGAAAACGTACCTTTCTCCTCTAAAGAATTTCAGGATTTTGCCAAGGAATAGGAATTTACCACTGAGCTAAGCTCGCCAGAGTACGCACAGAGTAATGGCAAAGCAGAAAATGCCGTCAAAACCGCAAAGATGCTAATGAAAAAAGCGACTGAATCTGGCAATGACTTCTATCTCGTGCTACTAGAATGGCGAAACAAGCCGTCTGAGGGGATGGAAAGCTCTCCTTCCCAGCGTATTTTTAGCAGACGAGCTAAAACACTGCTTCCCATATCGAAGAAGCTCCTTAAACCAAAGGTTGTCACTGGTGTCCAAGAAAAACTTCGAAAGAGGAAAGAGATACAATCAAAGTATTATAACAGAGGCACAAGGGAGCTAAGTGTATTAAAGAAAGATGATGTAGTCCGGATAAAGCCAAGAAATTCCGACAGAACAGGCAGCTGGACCAAAGGATGTGTCATAGAGCAAGTTGGTGTAAGTCGAAAGTTTCTACGTCAAACCAAAGAGCCTTTTTTTGCAGATGAAGAAGATTCAATCATTTTCCCCAGAAAGGAACGAGAAGCAGTGGCTTGACCTTATAAAGATCACCAATCTGAAATAGAGCAATTTGATCCGCAAGAGGCACCTCACTCACGACCTGATGCTACTGAAGAAGAGACAGCAGCCGCCAGACCTGCTGAGACCAGATTTGATCACAGGCAATTGAACTTTTACCAGCCAGTAACAACAAGGAGTGGCAGGAAAGTAATTCGGCCGGACTACATCACTGGCCACAACTTCTGATTAGCAAACTTTAAAAACAATTATTTTTATTATGTTACTGTTCTGTTTATTCTTTTGTTGGAGGAAAGGTGTGACGTTATTAGCCTCGTATTTATGTTAGTTGGGCATGCGCCCGGTTTGTTACGTTATGTTATGCGTAAGAATAGAAAATGGAGTATTGAAGTTCGAGTTCGAGTGTTCTAGCCTTGTTATATACCGGATAATTTTACAGGAACCTTCTATTCTTCTGGACTCAATAGACAGTTAATGTCTTTTCAATAACATACACCTCCCTCGTTTTTCTTATTTTTGCTTTCTCTTTTCTTTATTCTTTATTTGTATGTATACATAAACATATCCATAAATTATACACTTACGTTCAAAAAGTATTGGGACACACTTCGCAATTTCGAAGACATTTCATGCAACAAATTTGGATAGACTCTTTTAAAATTTTTCTCATTGAATAAGTACAGCAGCTATTTCCATGAAACTTTCACAAGACATTGTTGATGTTTCGAAGCATTTTATGTGCACCAAACAATCAAAAAAACGTCGACCATAAAATTTCTATAGGCCTTGAGACGAAAACATGGAGGCTCTTGAAATTTAAGAACTGAGTTAAGAGAAGCGCTTACAAATTGCTTTCTATTAAAATAAAGCAAATTGATTTCGTGAAATTGCATCAATTGTCGGCTGCTCAATGAGTGCAGCTGTTCTGGTGTGTAAAAAGATTTTCCGTGCAAGGTCAATAAAAAATTTATCAAGGGATGGCAGACCGAAGAAGTTTACGAGGCCTGGGACGAAAGGTTCTTTACTGAGGGAACTGCGAAGTAATAGGTTTGAATCCTTACTAGAAATTATGTCATCATGTAAAAAGAAGCTAGATTTTGGAACATAAGCAAAAACATGGCTATAAAATTCATGAAAAATACCAATTTTCCAGCTTTATTGGAAGAAAATGCTCTTTAATAACAAAAATTAAACATCGCCGACGATTACAATGGCTTCTCCTTGAATGTTACGCAGTTTTAAAAGTGACTCAAGTAAATGCAATAATTAAATAAAATTGTAACGTTTTCGTTGATGTAGCAAACTTTATTTGAAGCTTAAAATTTTGATTTTGTAATTTCTTTTATAAATTTCTTTGTTATGCAAACGTGAAATTAAAAAGTTTAATTTGTTTGGACATCTCTAAAATTTTGTGAAGGTCATGTGACTTTGCCGTTATTAGGCTATTCGACCCTTCTGCATATTTTGTTGTTATATTCAGGAAAATCTGAAGAATCCTATGTTTTCAAGGTTATGCTTTATAAGTTGAAGCATTTTCTTAACTTTTTATTCCACTTTGGGGATACGTAGGTCTAGATTACTTGGAGAAAGACTGCCCAAATCTGAAAAAGTTTCCGTTGCAAAACCGAATCCAACGCAACGCCATAATTCGTTTATCGAATTTGTCCCAATGCTTTTTGAACGTAAGTGTATATATATCTAGGTGTATTTACAATTGTATGTACACTACCAGGACAAAAGTATTGCAACACCTGCGAAGGCGATTAATGGCGGATCATGCAATAACTTTTGTTGTTGTCTGATTAAGCTATTGTTTAATCAGCCAATGGCGCGCAAATAAAATTGCAAATTCAATGAAGCGTTAATTCGAATATTCCATTTTCATTTTTCAAAATTTTAAATTAGCAATTCAAGTAACTTTTAATTAAACAGACATTTTGTGGAGGTACTTCTGGCTCTGATAAGTGCGGAAAATTGCTTTGAAATTGATGCACAAAATTTATTGATGAAATGCACTGGGATTCTGTTTCATTCTCAATTAACTCTCTAAGTCAGTTTTTGTTTGGACCTTAGAGAATCTTGTGGATTTCAAATCAGATCATTTTTATTGGCAAGGTGAAATATTCGCTTATTTTAAGGTAAGGTCATGGTGATGGCCGATGAAGGACATAGAGTTTGCAGATTTTCAGGTAAATTTGAGTAAAAATGGCTTTGTAAGGGGGATGTATTGCTTTTTATGATAAAAGCTGCCTTCCTCATATTCCTAGCATTGATTTGATTCCACCAAAGAAACTGTTTTGCATTATTTTGATATGTTTCACTGCATTAACTCGCACGTCGCTAGTTTATGATTTACTAATTTATATGGGCCTAACTGTACCCAAAAAATTACCCAAGGTGAGATGGAAAATTTCGGGGCTAAAGAAGTCGGGAATATTGACTTAATTTGTTGCTCTGATCTCTGACCTGATCTCTCACTATTTCGCTTTCATTTTCTGTAAAAAGTTTCGAGATCTTTAGAAGTAAAAGACCAGTTATACGAAGTTTTATCACAACTACTAGCTCCTTATCCTGTCAATGTTTTGATTTTACCACTGCAGATACTTTTTCTTATAACTGTAAGATTTCTTAGGTTAATATTGTAATTCTGAGTATTTCGAAATCCTCGATAATTTTCAAAGAATTTGACTACTGGTTTAGCCTGATTATTTTCTCTTTTAAGCGTAAAGATATTAGTTTACAAAACTTCAATTTTATTGGATGCCATTTCGTTTGGGTGTTACAATACTTTCTATAAATTTTTGGATCTTTCTATACATTTCTTTTCCGTGCTCTTATATCCGTCTTTTTACTTCATCTGTCGAATCCCATATTCCTTTAACGTTTTTTAGTTCTATCATCGCTTTACTAGATAAAGGGCGATGCTCGAAACGTCGTTATTCATTAAATCTATTATTTATTCCTGGTACAACTTGCTAACATTCATAGTTATTATATCATTTTATTGTACCGCACGCAATCTAGTATATTTATGGAATCATTATAGTTTGTATGTTGCACACTTACGCTGAATGCAAAGTGCATTCACAATACGATGTCAAAAATGATGTTTATTATGACAATAAAAATAATAAATAATTTGTTTACAGTTGGTGTGCTAGATCTATCTTTAATAGCTATAACGAACCTAATTAAGGCTGTAATATAGGTACTTATTTCATTTTTGGTCAGTCTTGCGTTTATGCCTATATTTGTTTATGCTTCTCTTTGTTTAGGACACATTAGTTTGTCGCGTGTTAGTTTTTCATGCTTTCCGGTAATGTAATATTTTACATGCCCTTTTACCCTAAAAAGTTCCCCCACGTATCCTAAAATATCTAACACCTCCTAATAGTTCATTTACGTATTGCACGATCGATACCGACAATAACACCGGCAATTATTGATGTTAGTTTGCTATATTGTGATGCTGTTATATAAAGTAGAGTAAGGAGAAACAGAGTTAGTTAGAGAGAAGCGTGGTGCTTGCGAAAGGCCACTGCTATCAAACATGTAGACACTCACTCGCACACACGCAAAGAACGGTCATGGATTGGAAGGCTAAGAAAGGGCTGATGGCATTCAACCCGAGTGGCTTGTGAAAGCACTCGAGGTTTCGTTTCATATATATATAATTTAATGGCGTAACAGTGCTTGTGAAAGTGTGTTTCGTACCTAAGTTTCGATATTGTATAAAAGAACGTCTTAGCTTTGGATGGAATTAAAGGAATTGATTTTGTGTGCCAAAACGTTTCGTTTATTCGCTCGATCAATCGCTCAAACATTGAATGGTGTCAGAAGTTTTACAAATAGATATCAGCAGCAAATTTTACAAGGCCAACTATTTATGAAAAATTAATGTAAATTTAAAAATGGCACAATGTGAAATAAAACCTTGCTCAGCAATAAATATTTCACACACACTAAAGTCAGACAATGCAGGGTGTGCTCTTAATTCTTTTTTAAAAGTTGCTAATAATTGAGACTCTCTTTTATTGCGAGGAAGCATTTGCAACAGCTTCTGACCAAAATATCTCACAGCTCCTATACCATGAAAAATTAGCCTGGCTTTTTGAAAGCCAAGATTATTTTTAGTTCGCAAATCATAAAAGTAGGGTTCAGGTTGTGTTTGGTTTGGTTCAGGTTGCATTTCTTACTCATAAAAGTAGGGTTCAGATTGTGTTTGGTTTTGCATACTTTTATCCTCAAGTACTGTAGATTGTGTTCGTGAATTGATAATGCTTTTTCTGATGTCAGGAAACTTTTGTAGTCGGCATGACTGCCTTTCTAAACCATTCTGAGTACTTTTCCTTGATTTTAGTTACTTTAGCCTTCAGACATCTGTCATGAAACATCCAAGTTTGCGGGTAGTAGTTAAAGTAAGGATTTATGAAGCTGTTCACTAGGAGACGCAGTTTAGCAGAACCCATAAACGAAGATTCTCTAACAAGGGCAGGCAGATTTTGACTGGCTCTTTTGCATAAATTTGAGACGTGATCTTTGACCTTACGATTGTATCTTAATATCATCTTGGTTTGTCCCAAACGTTAGAAGTAATACTGTCCTTCACTCGATTTCATAAAATTGTCAGGAAACCACTTTAACAAAACAAGAGAATCAGTTTCTAGCCGTTCTAAAACTTTTTCTAATTGAAAGTCAGCTGGAAAAATCTTGGTATCATCAGCCAAGTCACAAACTGCAGTATCAGCTTCCTCAAAAATTAAATCATGAATGCAAAAGTTAAATAGAAGAGGCACAAGAAATGCTCTGATACTGCAAAGCAGTGTATAAAATATTCGTTAAAAATCATACCTCAGATCACCTATGTCAAGTCTGTCTTCCTCTGCTCACGGAACGACTGTGCATACTGCGATTTCGTCCCTTTTTATGGAGGTTATGAACAAAAGTTCATTATTGCTTTGCATGTTTTATCTTGCGGTTGACATAGCCGGCATCCCATTTTAACCGCTATAGAAGTTCTAATCAAATCTCCCATGAGTCTAACAACAATGTTTTCCTCAAAGGGTAACGAAATATTCTTAGCCCTTTTGTCAAAATTTTCGAATTACACTATAAACACCCAGAGGAAATGTTTAGATATAAATAACTCTGATACCTCTTACTTGCTTTTTAAATAACTAACTATAAACTATAAACTCTAAATAACTAATAACTAACTTTTTAAATAACTATAAAATATCTCTTAAATGCTTTTTATTATAAATTTTTGTAAAATAGGCCTACATTAGCTTGTATATATGTAGCTGTTAATTATTCGTTCTTAATTGCTTTTTATTCTCAATTTTTGTAAAGTAGGCCTTAATTAGCTTGTACACAAATTGTACATAAACAGCTATATTATACCTGCCTACTGTAAATAAATTGATTATTATTATTATTAACTCTTCTTCAAGCAACTTCCAGTGAAGGTTGTATTACTAATGTAGGAAAAGTTATTATTTTTACGTTTATTGTGCTTTTTAGTGGACTTTTTGGTCCCTGATAAGGTTTCAGATCCAGCAAGGGAAACTCTTACGAATTGCATGAAATCAGACTGAATTTGATACGTGCATGGCATATTTTGAGCTAAAGCCTGGTTGCCATATAACTTTATGCGTCGGCGTGGCATCGCCGACAGGTCGCCGACGAGTGAAAGTTTAAGGGAAACACTTCCACAAGGTGACGTGTTGGCGATGCCCTGCAAAAGTTGAAGCTAGTTCAACTTTTTTGTGTCGGCGACGTCGGCGATGACTGGGAATTTTAATGGAAACATGCATCGCCGATACGTCGGCGACTCTGTGTGAACACATGACCTTCACTAGCCAATCAAAACCATTACTAATCAACATGCCTACTCATTAGGCACGGTTTGTTGTCAAAAGGCTCCCTAGAAGGCCTGGGTTAAAAGTATCGCCGATGGGTCGGCAACACGTAAGAGTTTTGTGGAGACCAGGCTGAAGAGAACCATCGGCGATGCCGACGTGTCGCCGATGCATAAAAGCTATATAAAAACCAGGCTTAATGGATGTATCATAAATTCCATTTACCAAAATAAATGATTTTACCTACCGATCAATCGTCGGAAAATGATATAGAGATAAATGAGGAAATATTATTCAAGCCCCAAACATCTAATCTAAGCCTACATCAGTTGAATTGCGAACAAACACATTTGATGGGTGATTGTGAATCCTGTATTGATTTGATTTTCACTGACCAGCAAAACATTGTTATTGAATCTGGTGTCTCCCATTCTCAGCATTTTCACAATACATTAAGCAGCCAATGTTGAATATTTGTGCGTATGCAGAGGCAAATACAGCCATTCCCCCCCCCCCCCCCCCCATTGAACCTTGTTGGTTTACTACAAAACGAAGTGGAAGAATTGGTAAGTATGCTTTTCTCT